TATCACAACCCGCACACCCGATTACCTAAATATACATGAACTTACAGTTAAAGCTCAACAGCTGGCCTCTGTAGCTCAGTTGGTTAGAGCGCTGCACCGGAATCGCAGGGCCGTAGGTTCAATTCCTACCAGAGGACCTTGTGCTGCATTTTTCGCAGTGGTTCCTGGTTAGGTCTTAAAATGTATATATTCTCACTTGGATTACAAACCCTAACATTCTAATATTAATTCCAACAAGTGAAGTGCAAGAATCCAAATTATTGAAGTCCACCTTATCACAACCCGCATACCCGATTACCTAAATATACATGAACTTATGGTTACAGCTCAACAGCTGGGCTCTGTAGCTCAGTTGGTTAGAGCGCTGCACCGGAATCGCAGGGCCGTGGGTTCAATTCCTACCAGAGGACCTTGTGCTGCATTTTTCGCAGTCGTTCCTGGTTAAGTCTTAAAATGTATATATTCTCACTTGGATTACAAACCCTAACATTCTAATATTAATTCCAACAAGTGAAGTACAAGAATCCAAATTATTGAAGTCCACCTTATCACAACACGCACACCTGATTATAGATATATATTTTATAAATATAGGTTTTGCGATCACTGATAACTTGATATTTATTAATAGTATAAAACAAAGCACTTCTATCTGCAACTTTTACAATCACTGATAACTTGATAATAATTTAAACCAGTCAAGTTGTAGTTTAAATAGAGAATAATACATGGGTGCATGAAATACCAGATTTATTTCGAGTGTTGATCATGAGTGTGCAGCGAACAAGTGGGCGCAGCGAACGAGTGAGATGTCATGTTCAACACGAAAAATAAATCTGGTATTTCCAATCACCCATGTATTTTTCTGTTTATTATATAAAGGACAGTCTTAAATGAAAAGCGATAATTTTTTCAGAAAAGCGATAATTGAAAAGGCGATAATTTTCACATGTGAGATTATCATGAATAATTTCACATGTGAGATTATCATTTTTATCAGTGCTTGAAATCTCTGTAAAACACTATACTTTATATAATAAAAATTCATAAATTTGAACCATGCTAGAGCATGACAACAGCAAAATGCTGTATAGTATGATGCACAATATTTTGGGAGGTGAAATACAGGAACAATAAATCACAGAGTGTTTGCTTGGAACTCACTGGGGGGGGGGGGTGCAACACCCCTGATAATTGCTCATAAGGAATTTCAGGTAGATTTCCAGTGCACTGTTAGGTAAAATTAAGTAGATTTGCAGAAGATTTTCAGGAGAATTCAGGTAATTCTCAGAACATGAGAAAGTGAATTTGGAAAACAACTGTATTTTCGGAAAAATTATTATATGTCCTGAAAATTTTTTGTACATCTGGAAACATTTTGGTCACCCCCCTACCCCCCTCTATCTAACCTCACACACACCCTGAGACGAAGTGCTCGCAACGGCACTGAGTATACATCTTTTGAAAACAGGCGAGGGGTTATTGCATGCATGTATTTCTAGTTGTAGTTGTGAGATTACCCTGTAGAGCAAGCGTTTTGGTTAGGCGCTTTGGCTAAGGAAACGCCTGTAGCCGTGTCCAGCAGCAAAAAATAATGCGTTCGCCAGCGAACGTGGTATTCTTATTGGTCCACGATAGGCAAGTGGGAGTCGAGGATGTTCTTGTTAAAGAAATAATGTAGAGTGCAATGCTGAGTGTCGGTGTGGTACGACCAAGAAACCTTGCAAAAATAGGATAAGTCTATTTAAAAATCTGCATTATTTTATATAACCGAATTTTATTCATACGAAAATTTTGAATTTCCAATGCGGTTTTTGTATAGGATACGGCGAAAAACTCTGAAAGAGAGCGAGACGATGGAGGAAGCCGTGGAAGCCGTGGAATACGTGCGCAAGGCTTTCGGCTCAACAGTTCTCACAGAATCTAGAAGCTGAGGATTCATTGAGAGAGAGGGAAGACGAGAATGTAAAGGTAGGTTTGTTTACAGTATATGCCTGTTTACATATATACTGTATGTAGCTAAATGTTAGAAACAATATATGGTTTTTACGAGCTTTGTTGTATAATGAAATGTTTTGCTTGCATAGAGATGATGCAATTTGTGAAAGGTAGTTTTAGTACGATTGTCTTTTAGTAAACTATGATTTTGTCAACCTACTAGGGTTTCGGGAAGTTTCGGTGAGTTGTGGAAGTGAAAACCCTGAGTATCAGGTTGTACGTAATTTTGTTACCCAATTATAGTTGGGGCATAATATTGCAATACTAGAAAATACATGCATGCAGAAACCCTCGCCTTGCTGACAAAACCATTGTATTTTCCGAACATGAAGTATCCAAAGTTGTTCTCATGGTAACACGATAATTTTTTAAGAATATTCTTACAAATGAAAAATCGCCTAAAATATCACTTTTAATTACAAAATTATCAATTTCTCAACATATATATGTTAGGTATGTTATTATACGTAATATAAGCTTCAATTTAAGGTAAAATTCAACCACAAAAGCTTCGCAAAACGTTTTAAAATGTTCTTTATAAAACTACTAAGACTGCCTTTAATTATTAAAATGGACTTATCGATAAACTTTGAGTTTGGAATAAAATGATTTCAAATTCTCGCATGCAAATAACTTTGCTTTCTTTTTTATTTAAAAAATTCAATATAGGCCCAATAAAAAAGGGAATCAATATTATTAATACACTGAAATTATATGCTGTCTTGTTTAGTTGTTTCATATACGCAAAGCCAAAGGGCCAAAGCGGCCGTCTGGTTTTAAAGCAATTATAAAATCAATATTTAAAACAATTAAACTTACCTTCGTTGACGTCGGCTCCCTTCTTTTAGCCGATTCTTTCGCCCTTTCTTGAAATTTACAAAATCTTGCAAAAATGCGAGCAAAAAATAAATATATTTGCAAGAAATTTATCAATCATCAAATCAAGAAATGTTTGCTATTTCGCTGTCGTCATACAGTCGACAGTCGTTATAATGCAAACTTTAAATTGGACCAATCAGTGTTCGCTATTCATGACAGTCCGCCATATTTTTGAGATCAGTGAGGATGACCACCCAGTCAAGATCGTCGTTCGTTGGTCACGCCGGCGATAATTGATGAACTTTAGACTTCGCTAATGCTTTCGTTTCTCCGGGTGTAAATAGCCGGGGGGAATTAGTACCCTCGCACGGCGCTTCGCGCCGTCGGCTCGGGGATAAAATCGCTTTCACTGAACTGCCTACTAAATATTTCACAGTTGTGTCACCAGCCATGCATTTCCACTAAATCTTTTTGGACTTTATCATTTAACCCATTGAGTCGCGTTGCGCCCTACATTAATATTTTACTCCATAGCTAAAGCCAGATTATTTTACCCTGTCTAACGCCAGACGATTTTACTTGTCAAGAGGAGAGCGCTGGCGCTTAATGGGTTAATTGGGCTATCTGCCCATGTGTCTAATTAACCCATTGAGTCACTTTGCGCCCTACTTTATTATTTTGCTTTGTTATCTTATAAAGCTATAATAAAGAATGGCGGTTATAGTTATTCATATCTCATCTCATTCCCAAGTTATAGCACTCTTTTATATTTCGAGTTATGACGTCACTGGTTCTGCTTGAGATGGAAGCAAATAGGTGAAAGTCTAATATTTCTGAGGTGCTTTGAGAAATGCCGGGTAACTTGGGAATGATATAAATAAACTGTAAAAGCCATTCGTCACTATTTTGAATATACTCTGAAGTGATGGAATTAAAAATAGGGATAAAATTTCATTTCATAAACACTTTCATCATTTACAGGATTTTATTGGTCGATTGGACGGAGATTGGTGCGAAGGCTTGCAATTCGATCTTTGCGTAGAGGCATTGGTAACATGGACTACATTGATACGTTGCTGATTATGGAAGATGATCTGGACGAGAATCAGGAAGATGGTGATCTTGGTGAGTTTGGTGAATCATCAATGATACGGGATGACAACAATGACCCACCCGAGCAAGACTCATCCAGGGAACCCACAGGGGATTCCACAAATAATAGTACTGTTAGTACACCAGTTTGGTGTGTTTGTGGTAGACGTAGACCAATGCCACAGGAAGTCGAAAACAAGTGTTGCAAATTAAAAAAATGCATAACACTTACTTTGCGTTTTACCAAGTTGTGTCTTGATCCTGATGTTCTGGAGTTATGTATCAAAAATAGAGCAGACATAAGAAATGAACACGAGGAGAATAGCACGAGAGCTTTCCGAAAAGCTGCCTACAGGTAATTCATTCTTGCACGCTATGGTCATCTGGGTAAGGGGAACAGACGAGTCTGCCCTTCATGCGTCGTATTAAAAATAAGGGAACGTTTTCCATCTGTCACTGGAATTTACATGGGATTTAGGGAACACTGATAATATAATATAACTTCATTTTATAGCATATCTAAATATATTTGTAAGCACAATAACAGTTGATATATGCACAGTGTAAAAAGGGAATGGACAAGCATCTGACTATTCTAATATGAATCTGCTCCTCCTCTCAACAATTTCCTTTGTCGTTGGTGGTGGTATGTGGCCAATAGTTGGGAAAATTACAGCTGGGTTACTTGTGTTCAAATCAATGGCTCTTGTTACACATTCATCATCATCCACTCTTCTCTTTAAAATTTTGGAAATGAGCACTGTGATGTAGTCGTATCCTTTCTGAACTTTCACCGCCTTGCAATCCCTTTGTCGAGTCCTGGGATTATAATTTCTGGTAACAATATCACCACCTGATTTTGTTTTGGTCTGGGGAAGGTTTATGTAAAATTTCCAATCTATGGCTGTGAGCTGTCTTCTTGCTTTGTATGCACTGTATCTAAATTAAATCCATTTCATTTTTCAGAACACAGTTAACCTTATATTTAACCCTTTTAAAAGTGGCAATACGCCGAAATGCACCCTACTTTATTATTTACTCTGTCTGACGCCATATGATTTTATTCTGTCTAACGCTAGACGATTTTACTCGTCAGGGGAAGAGTGCTCCACTCAATGGGTTAATTTAAATCGTTTGTGCACAAAAGTATCTAATCCAATTATTTGATGAATATGCTGTTTTCTAGTATTTTTGCACAAGTGAATATAAGAAATCCGATGAGCACGTGATATTCCCTTATACTGATGCACCCACGGGTGAATATAAAAAATAAATTAATTAAAATAAATTCAGTTCAAACAAACACAAAAGGCTTGTGTAAAATACTAAAACAATTATTTGCCTCAGGCTCAGTGATCATAGGCGGATATTCACCTCCACTTCGTCTCGGTGAATATTCCCCGATAATCACCTCGCATTCGGCAAACAATTATCAAACAGAAGATTGGAGTGCATTGCATGCAGTATACAAAATAAAAACTTACCTGAAAGGTGTCCGTTTTGAGGTGTAAACCAAGCCAAGGCTGTTTGCACACTCTATACCACCTGTGTGTCTATAAAACAAAATTACTTTATTCATCAACTTGTCATAATAATTGATTGTCAACAATTTTTTCTATTCCTGAAACGGGTACAGGATGATCTTTTGCAATTCGGGATTCAGGATGATCTTTTGCAATTCTTGATAGTCTTTATCCCGACGATCAAACCATGGCAGTTTTCCATCATGTTCGTCATCTTCATGCATGATCACATTGACCTTCCAGCCACTGATGCTCATTACAGATGTGATGTAGTAATCCAATCCATTTGTCCTAAACAAAATCATAATATATACATTAACATTTAACATATACTGTTATAATACAGATCATGAGAATAAGAATATATACCTTCATAACTTTCAATGCTCCTTCATCAGAGGTTTCATCATCCTGTCTGCATGCACTTCAGCAATGCCAAAAAAGCCTCATAATGTGTGCTGCCCAGTCCTTGACTTTGTGCATCGCTTTTGGTTTACCCAACTGAGTTGATAAAAGCGCCAGACTCATTCTACCCTTTTTGCCTGAGGTTCTGCAACTTTCGCCTTATTCCCGCTCGTATCTATTTCACGCGAGGCGAAGAGAACCTGTGGTGGCACGCGATGCAAATCTCTCTTCCATGCTGACGTCGCTGTTTGAGAACTTGCAAAACCGGGTTTATATTTTGTGACGTTTTTAAACTTCCGGTTTTGTCATACTACCAAAATAGCTCTATTCGGAATGTTTGGCAGCCTTGTGTAAAATATTTAAAATAAGCAGGCCAAACATGTAGATTATTCATTAGGGACTGCTCATTATTTATTGTACAGGGGGAAACTGAGGAGAAACTCTACAGTTATAATATTTTTTCGTTTCCCCCCTCTTAAGATAAGTAAAATTTTAAAAGCCCCCCCCCAACTGGCAAAACAAGAACATAAATTTTAACAACAACCCCC